TCTCTCTCTCCCTCTCTCTCTCTCTCCTCCCCCTCCCCCACCCATACCCCTACCCCTACCCCCACCCCTGTTATAAACCCAGGGGTGGTGATTTCAGGTTTCGTAATGTTGCATGATGTGATGGGTATTTACCCGGGGATGCACCGGTTGGGAAATTAACATCCTCGGATGCAGTTCTGCTTGGGCTTCCATCAGCATATTCCAGGCAAGTGAGAAGTGGCAAAGGAAACTCGCTTCGTGGGAATAACAGAGGAACCTGATTTCCCTGGTGTGGCTCCCAGGCACCTAGGAGACAATGTGCATTTTGTTTGAAAATAAAGCCACTTGTGATTTGCAACAAAGGTTATCAGTGTAAATGAGAAAGGCTTAATTGCCTAAGAAATACCGGTTCATGTTATATTCATTTGAATCCAGGCAGCCAAGGTTGACAAATGGAAGTGCATTTTCCCTCTGGGTGTGTTTCCGTGGCCAATATTTACATTAACCATCTTTAATAATCATGTAGGCTTAAAAGAGACAAGATTTGCCAAAAAGGCGGCGGGGGGCGGGGGGTAGGGAGAGAAAGACAAAAGATTAAACCACATCAAATCTTGGGACAGGTTTCTATTCGTTTTGAAGTCTGGTGTTGAAATTATGCCTCAAGATGAATCAACAAATACTCTTATGCAGCATAAACGGCAGCAGTCGACTTAAAAGATATATTTTGCAGAGGTTCTCTGGATGCACAGGAGCAGAGATGCTCCCTTTTAAACACTGATGGTACCAAAAGAGCTCAAATTACTGTGGGTAGCCGCTTTTCTGTCTCCTATCAGAGATCTTGTAGATTCCATTGCAAAGCTAGTGATTAATTCTTGGGCTGGCATATTTTACAACGGTGGGAGAATTTTATTCCCTTCCCTCCTGAAGGTGCCCAAATCTAAATATATGGTGTCTAGAATAAGGGCATTGTTAAGTTCACCTGGCTTAAAGCAGGAAAACAGCCAGTACCCTGGCATCTCCAAAAAATAACTGCTGAAGCAAACCCTGGTGTTTAAAATGGAAACTTTATTTGCTTCCTCAGAAAGGAGCAGCTTTGTGCCAGCACAGACATCATGGTTTGTTAACTTAAGAACTGATAGTTCTCTGTTTTCTTCTTCAGATATTCTGATGGCAAATCAAACGGCAGGAAAGAGGAAGCATGACCACAGATTGGATCAGATCTCTTTGTGGATTACATTTTCAGTAAAATGTATGGATCTATCTTTTCCTTGTTCGTATATCTAGATCATGAGACTTGACTGAGGCTGTTTCCTTATCTTCCATCCATCTATGGCGAACTATAGCCATGCAGCTGACAACATTTTGCAAAATCTCTCGCCTCTAACAGCCTTTCTGAAACTGACTTCCTTGGGTTTCATAATAGGAGTCAGCGTGGTGGGCAACCTTCTGATCTCCATTTTGCTAGTGAAAGATAAGACCTTGCACAGAGCTCCCTACTACTTCCTGCTGGATCTGTGCTGTTCAGACATCCTCAGATCTGCAATTTGTTTTCCATTTGTGTTCAACTCGGTCAAAAATGGCTCTAGCTGGACTTACGGGACTCTGACTTGCAAAGTGATTGCCTTCCTGGGGGTTTTGTCCTGTTTCCACACTGCTTTCATGCTCTTCTGCATCAGCGTCACCAGGTACTTAGCTATCGCCCATCACCGCTTCTATACAAAGAGGCTGACCTTTTGGACGTGTTTGGCTGTGATCTGCATGGTGTGGACTCTGTCTGTGGCCATGGCATTCCCCCCAGTTTTAGACGTGGGCACCTACTCGTTCATTAGGGAGGAGGATCAGTGCACCTTCCAACACCGCTCCTTCAGGGCTAACGATTCCCTAGGATTTATGCTGCTCCTTGCTCTCATCCTCCTAGCCACACAGCTTGTCTACCTCAAGCTGATATTTTTTGTCCACGATCGAAGGAAAATGAAGCCAGTCCAGTTTGTAGCAGCAGTCAGCCAGAACTGGACCTTCCATGGCCCTGGAGCCAGTGGCCAGGCGGCTGCCAATTGGCTAGCGGGATTTGGAAGGGGTCCCACACCACCCACCTTGCTGGGCATCAGGCAAAATGCAAATACCACAGGCAGAAGACGTCTGTTGGTCTTAGATGAGTTCAAAATGGAGAAACGAATCAGCAGAATGTTCTATATAATGACTTTTCTCTTCCTAACCTTGTGGGGCCCCTACCTGGTGGCCTGCTATTGGAGAGTTTTTGCAAGAGGGCCTGTAGTACCAGGGGGATTTCTAACGGCCGCTGTCTGGATGAGTTTTGCCCAAGCAGGAATCAATCCCTTTGTCTGCATTTTCTCCAACAGGGAGCTGAGGCGCTGTTTCAGCACAACCCTTCTTTACTGCAGAAAATCCAGGTTACCAAGGGAACCTTACTGTGTTATATGAGGGAGCATCTGTAAATCTTTAGCCTTGTGAAACACTCACCCTCTCTGCTAAGCAATTGTGGCCTGTAGCCATGTCTCGAGAAGAAAACCAAGGATGGGATCAGCAGTTATAAGGATTTGGGCAACATTCTGCAGTCTTTGCAATAGTTCACCTATAATCCTATTTTAAATCTCAGAGTGATCCTGCTGACTGCCGTCGAAGGTTTGTAATTAAGAAAGGACAGAACCACTGCCCTAAGTTTCTTTCTGTGGTTGAACACTAGATAATGAAAGTAGCAGGTGCTAAGTATCAGTGCTAAATGCTGTGTATATCATTACATATGAAAAAACTTCAAAACAATTAGCATTGGACATTTTAATAAATTAAGTTGACATGAGGTAAATGTGTTGATAAAAGCTAATTTTAGAAGTTTGAAGACTTTAAAACATTTCATACTATTTTTGTTTTTGCAAAGACTTCACTACTGGGGGACTAAACAGTACTGTAATCTTCTAAAGACGTGCCATGAATTATTGGGGTACAACACTTTAAACACGCCTTGTAAGTTTGGGGGAGCATTCCAAAGCAGTATATTGGTTCCAATTAGAGTTTACCTTTTTTGTATTAATATATTGCTATTTCTAAATGCCACTTTCCTTCCCTACCAGTGAAATTGCTAGCATTGAACTGTATTATGTGTTTTTTGTTCATTCAGTAAAAAAAGTTTCCAATTCATTTCTATTTTACAAATGCTAGATATCTGTCTGGGAGGCAACATGAATGATATCAACTAACCACAGATGAGCAGTTCTAATGATGCAGAATAAACACGTGTTGCCTTAAAGGTATATCTAGTATCCTTCATACTCATTAGCAGTGGAGAAAATAGTCAAGAGGCATTGAATCAGTGACTGGCCCTGGCTGTTCATCAGGAAGTGCATGGAAGAGCATTGAATACTTTTCCATTTTTCCTCACATGGTTTGGAAACTAAGGTGCACATCACTGGGGTAATGGGATTTTCTTCTGAGGTGTGCTACCCATTCTAGAGTGTTCTGAGAAACAGACAGTTGATATATGTTTATATTGTAAGTCAGCTGTCAAGGGGAGCCCACAGCCTTAGGATGACACCTGGCACAATTTGTGAAGCATTTATTCTATGGAAGGCACAGTCTTGTTTATACTTTCTGCACATTCAGTGTATTGGTCGTTTAAATTATTTCAGTTTTAACTTGTGAAAGCTTACAATATGATTTCTGGTATTTTAGAAATACATTAGATTCTGTGAGTCTCATTCTTTAAGATACAGATGTGTGAACTTCAATATAAAGTTGCATTTGCCAAAATTTATCTGTGTAGCCTGTTAATTTTGGGGGAATAAATTTTGCATTTTTGGCATATAGTTTTCTTTAATCTAGCAAACAAGCACAAACTAGAAAAATTAGTTTTATTATCATTTTTTTATTTCTTGTAGTACCATATTCTGAAACTAGAAATATATGACTGAGAGCATAAAGCTGAGTTAATATTTCTAAAACATTTTTGGGTAACTTTTCAAATCCATCCTTTATTTATTCTTATATGGTAGTAGTATTTACAAACAAATACAAGCCTAATTGTTTGGTTTGGACTTTTAATATAATTATTACACTTTAGTGTACAGTAGAATTTGAGTTCTAAATGTATTACTTGTCAGATGGTTTACAGAAAGAGTATGACAAAGCCAGAGAAAACTATTGTTAATTCTATTGGCTTTCCATTATTTTGTTTGTTTGTGGGGGGATTTTTGTTTGTTTTGTTTTGTACTTGTAATTGAAAAACAAGGTTAAGATGCTAGTGAAACAGAATTTCTTATTAGTATACTACTTCTATAAACAGAATTTTTAATATAAATAGAAAAAACCAAAAACTGAAATTTCCAATGGTCTATGCAACTATTCAGTGCTGCTCAAGCCATTAGTAGTCAACATTCTAAACTCATTTCTACACCAAAGCTGATCTGATCTGAGACAAAGTTTAATGCACAGCATCCAGGTGGATCTAGCAATAAAAGCTCCTTGTTCATATTAAACCCATTATCTAAAACACAGTAAAGACAATGTTACCTGAACATGACCTGCTAACATGTTTCCATCTCAAAATTTACAAGCAAGACATGACATTGATTCTTTTCATGGGAAACTTTGCTTAAAGTTTCAAATATCAACCAGAAATTCCAGCAATGGTCTTGAGGCCAGGGAACATAGGTTTCACTAATCTATATTTCTATTATTTAGATAAGTAAATAGATGTGGATCAAGGGAGGGCATAGGAAGGAAGAGAAAGGCAAATCGGTTTGCCTGACTCCACCTAGTTACTCCGAATAACAACTCAGTTTGTACAAATAACTAGTCCCTTGGAGGTTAGTGAATACAGCTAACTCTAGTGACTGTCAAGTGACTATCACTCTTGGCCTAGTTGGCACTTGCAGGTGAAGGCTGAAGCACTGAGCCAGTAACTCAGACACATCCCCAGTTATCAATCAAGTTTGTAAGTCAACTCGTAATAATAGTAATCATAAATCTAAAAGTCTGCTCTAGTGCTTTTATGACCAAAACACATTATCTATTTGGCATTTCAATAGTCAGTTTAAAAAAAAACAGCTGGCAATTAATTGCACTTGAAATTTTTACTAATTTTCAAACCATAAAAATACATCCTCCCTGGGGAGTTCAACTTCCCATTGAGAAAGAGTCACCCATCAATAAATAATGGGTTCCTCTTGGACTAATTACATTACAGAGCTGAACAGTCTTTACATTGTTTTCTATCAGAGTAGTAATATTTTTCAGTGGATATGCCTGTCCTTTGTCACCTGGTTCCTTTTATGAACAATGGATTTATATGTTTGTGACTGGAATCCCATGCAGATAAGGGAGATGGAGGTGAGTAGTTTGCATGGTTTTCTGCATAGGCTTGACTTGAATCACAAAATTAATTACAGTTGAAAAACATTAATTGTAAATAGGAAAATCAATTGACTGTCTTCTTCAAATGTTAACTAATTGAGTTTCGACTCCATCATTCTCTATAGAATTAACTGATTTATCATTGTTAGCATATGGCCACTTTCCCACTCATCTACATTTCTCTGGATGCTTACCTGAGTAGTTGGCTCATTTTTTCATTTGTTCAGTAAATTCATCCCAGGCTCTGTCTTCATGCTGTGAGTACTATGGAAAACATGACGACAGAACGAGCTCTCCTTGAGGTTAGTTAAGTGGGAAAAAAAACAACAGATATGGGGTAATGGTGAGTTGTGCATGCTAAGATAATAAATACTCCAAGGGTGGAGTCGGAATTAGTAACTACAAATTAATTTTGTTTCCACTTTCTCTCTAATGCCTTATCTCCTGGTTTGCCTTGGAATCTTTTATATACCATACACCCTCAAAAGTGAGGAACCTTTTGCTCCATTCTAAGGAAAGTGCCAGGACCCTACCATTCATGCTTGTATGAATCACCATGCTGTGTTTTGCAAGTAGCTCCCATGTTGTTAACAGTTGGTATAAAGTCACAGAGAAACCTACATGTCAAGTCTCTCCTTACCCCACTGTGTCCTAATTGTTTGCTTCCACACGAGATAAGTCAATCCCTTCAAGAGACTTGGAGGTGACTCTTTCCTGCTAGAGCATACTTCTCTCAGATTATCATGAAAATGTCTAGGTATAGTGCATTCAAATGACAGACTTGTCCCTGTGCATCTTAGTGATCACTATCAGGGGGTCTTTCCTGGTGCCAACCAAAAACAGAAATAATATATGAAATGGGGTATACTATTATTAAAGGGTTCCACCCCATTAAGATTCCTACTGTTCCCTATTGGGGTGAAAAACACAACTTCTGAGTGCCCTATAGCTGAAAAGCTGGTTTGGCCTCCAACAGTTATTTCTATCATAAGTACAGTGAAATACAATGATAATTATGCAGATATATACCTTTCATCTAAGTCATTTAACTGCTGAGCTGTGCTGATCCTGGGATTACTGCTGGGAAGTTGTAAATGGAACCCAAAATCCTCACTTCTCCATATTCACCATTAGACAAATACAAGTTTTTATTCTATCTTATCCCCCTGGGTAGCATAGACTTTAGCTTGTTTACACACAAAATCCCACCTTATATCAAATCCATACTAAAAAGAAAATAAAAGGGCTCTAAATAATGACATATTTCAAACACTAGCTAATGATACTAAAATCAAGATAAAGTCTGTGAGTCTGGGAGATACTTACTGTTCCCAAGTCTTGTGAGTTTGTTTTTTCCATGAAAAAAAATCATATTTGTGTTTGGTGATAGAGTTTATGACTATTTTGAAGGGAAATTACAACTCCTATTACCTGTTCATTAATGAAATGTTAATGCCCTTCTCAATTATAGACATGCCATTGATTCTGTGATTTTTCTAAACCTGCAGGAACTTTATTTACCTCACATTAAAAAGATAGAATTCCTCAATATTGAGGTGTGAATCCATAGCCTGCACAGTGCTTAAAATGAAGATAGCATTTGAAAATGCCAAGTAAGTTAAAAGTGTAGTAAACAAACAAAAAGGAGCAACATAGTGGAGATTTGGGGTGCATCAGTCTGACAAATACTGTTTGCCTTATAATTCAATGTGACAGATTCTAAAAATAAATAGTAAAACCAAAAGCCTTTAACTTTATAAAAATGTTACATAAGCAAAGCCTTGTTTTCAAACAAGGGAAGGAGCTTTTGCATTGTCTCCTTTTGCCAAAAGGATGTTGTCCATTAGCTGTTGAAACCCTTTGGGTTAAAAGGCTTTTAAAGCCAGTTTCCTCTCCCCAAGCCAGGAAGCTGACCAAGCAGCAGATCATCTAATGCTCCAGAGGAAACCCAGGAGAATGTGTTTCCCTAAAAGTGGTTGTACAAATAGACCTCCAGGAAGCCACAGGTCAGTTGGAAGTTGGAGGGGTTCTCACCTGGCCCTCACAGTCAGTTCCCAGCTCCTTCTGATGACTAA